AAATTCTTCCCATCGATGAGGAGGGTTCTGTTTACACATTTGACTGCGCAAGCAGTCACTATGTTTTACATGAGGTCATTCGGTCATCCATTGTCGACAACGAATAGTTCCACAGAAACATGAATTATCTGGGAGTTCAAACAAAGGACAAGCCCCGACCATTGATACAGTTTGCTTTTGTTTGAATCTGTGTGAGCGCTGTGACCAGGGTTTTGAATTTTAGTGTAGCTGTGGATGGGCCCGACGGACTTTTACAGAATACAGTCAAATCTGTGGGAGGTCGGTTTCCGCCCGTTTCATCATCATCGCTGTCAGCTGTAATAACTCGATGTACAGTAGTTGTCGCTGCCACAGTTTCGTTCACCGATGAGTTGGGAGGGGTAGGTGGCTGCGCATTGCAGGTGCGAGATGATAAATTAGTGCGTAAATACAGCACTGTCAAGTGGGGGGATTAGGAAGGGAGCTATGAATTGAAGTCAATAGCTTGAATGCACGAGCGCCAGTGAGGGCGCGGCTGGGCCATGTTTGACAATGTCTCTAACCGTTGATGTGGCCCGCCTCGGGGTCCCCATCCAGGAAGACGGCAGTGACCAGCGCAGCTGAGTTTGCTGGTAATGCCTTTCATACTTCGGTGCGAAGTCAGTGTTTGACCGCCTCTGGCTCTCTTCCACCCTTCACGTGGTTGTGCGGAAAGAACCCTTCGAGGAAGTCGGTCGACTGGCATACGGAGTACGTGGCCAAGTCAGCGTAACCGATGCTGTGTGATCAATTCATCTATCGAGGGTGAGTTATTTCTCCCGAATACCATTCGACGTACTTCAGAATTGCTGACCCGGTGTTCCCACCAGATTCGGGCAATGCTCCGAAGACATCGATGGTCAAACACTGAAAATCTTTTGACGTCCTCGGCGCACAGCGGCCAGGTTACTGACCCGTACAATAATATAGAACACACCACAGCTCTGTAAACTCGAACGTTGACCGGTTCTCCTACCGATAGTTTGCCCAAACCTTTCTCGCGCACCTCGTGTGTGAGTTATGCCTTGGAGTATTGCACTTTACAGGATCACTTTTCCGAAAATGCCATCACATTCCGCCAAGTCGATCTTGTCGTTTGCTGTTGGTTAGCAACCCTCAAAAGGCACAGCACCAAATCACCTGTCACAAATTCTTGACCTCCTAGAATCCGAACTGAACTTTACTCGTTTTCTGGTCCAGGACAATATAAAAACCCGTAGATTACATACATTCTTGAGAAATTGGAAATGGCCGAACCGTTTGTTAGCTTCCGAATCGGTGCAGAACACGATCACTAAGAAAGAACCAAGCACTTAGTACCTATTGACCAGCTGCAGCTAGACCAATGGGCAATTTCCCCGATGCTCTGCCTTGAAAGTACGTAATCGATCCAATTATCATGTAGATTCCGTCCCGCAAACATGGCACATACACGAAATTTCGGCGTCTCCAAAGATAACTGTGACTTAAACTTCTGTAGCATATGCCATTTTGAATGACTAGATACGGCGGCGTACAAACAGGCGTCCCTTGAGAAGACGAGCACAATGTTGAATGAGGCTAACTGATTACAATGATGCTCACTTTCACCACCAACTCTCCAAGTAACGCGCCACGGTTCACGTGAAAGTGGAAGATTAAAAGCGCCTTCGAAAAGGTTAAAACGAGTCATTATTTGTCCCAAAAATACTGGGTCGGGGGTACGGTTCTTCCTGTGTCTCCATGAAGATGCCCTTGGACGACTTAGTGGCTTGCCAAATGAGTTGAACTGGCGGCAGAACTCGCAATGTAAAGCAAGCATTACTTCACTGAGTCGGCCGTCTTGTCACTCCAGCATATCCCACCCATCTGCACTCTTTAGCTGCAATACGCGGCCCAACCGTCTTGTCACTCCAGCATATCCCACCCATCTGCACTCTTTAGCTGCAATACGCGGCCCAAGTCAAGTTATTCTGTTAAATATAGGTCCATACGTGTCATCGGTGTACGTTTTGGTGAAGGCGAAAAACTGTCAGCGTGGTTAATTTCGGGAGGTAGCTTCATGAATCAGGTGTGTCTGGTACACGTTACATCGATATGCACCGATTTTGAAAGGCTGGCGTCGACAGGATGGCAGAACATCAGGCAAGTCTCCATTTGGTGTCTACAGATGACTTAGTGTAGTGTGTCACCCTGGAAGATGAATTTTTTGTAGATGGAACGAAAGATGATATCCGTAAATGCTAAGTTGAGGTTACGAGTTGTTTGCACCTCGCGCGGTGGCACTGCTTCACTGAAACATGGTGAAGCAAAATGCCAAATGAGAGAACTCCCAGAGTGCTGTACATTTGGGCGTCCGCCCCTCTGGGGAACGTAGACCGGTCTAGAAACGAAACTCGAGTTCCATGGTCTAATTATGCTACTTATTGAGCGCGAAGGAACGTCGAACTGGTGTCGCTGAGACTACTGGATGGGTAGTATTATTTGTTTGTTGTACCGTACTTTCTCCGGTAGCTATATCAGGTGGTGTTAGTAATCAGAGGTCAAGAGACCTGTGTAATGAGGCTCCAGGAGAGGCCGATTTCCGCGCACCTCATGGCTGAACGCAGCTACTCAGATCTATCAAGTGGCTGGACACGTACTAGTCATGCGCAACCACCGTCTATCCAAATAAGTATTGTTTTCTGTTTGTGGAAGAAGCTTCGCGTGCACAGGCCGTGACGTGAAATGCAAACTGAACTGAATGACGCGGGATCTTCGTGTCTTTCTGACTGGGACACACGGGTTCCGTGGTGTTTGGGAAGTCCGCAGGAAATTGCGTGCAACTGACCCCAGTGGCACACATGCTATCATTCCTCTGCAAGTATGTATGGTTCGATAGTATCTGGGACGACATACAACCGTGATATTCACAACCTTGTCACACCACCACCATCCGGGTCGCTTTGTTTGTCGCATAAATCAGGGAGGCTAAGCGTGAGCAGACCATTCTTTCAGGTATTCCCTCTTCCCTCCTACTCCACCCTATTGTGAGCAGTGTCTCCTGTTCCTAGCGCTCGGAGTGACAACCTTATTCGTTTTGCAACATTCTTGACGGATATTGGGGCGAAACGGCTTAGTGGTTAGAGCGAGAACTTACTGACTAGAAGGTTCGTGGTTACAACCCGATATCTGCCTCTCGACTTCCCCTGTCTAGGCTTGGACAACCTGGCAGTATCCCAGCTCTAGTGCTCCCTTCGGGGGGGGGGGCATGGCAATTAGGCATTAAAAGGGTGTTACAGCTATTCAATCTATTTGACGGAAATTTCTGCGCGTTCACCTTCGTTAACCACTCTGAACACTTCCAAGCCCATTTATTTAGTTGCCCTTGAATACCAAAACTCCACAGCTGTCCTCGGTCGTACGCATTGATGCGTCGTCTGTCGTAAACAAAAATCCAAGACTATATTGCCTTACCTGAATCGGTTGTCCAGCTGCACTCTAATCATTCCCAGCTGTGCACCTCTGATGGTGCAGAGGCCGGTGGTGCACCTGGATAGGCCAGGGTAGGTTTTGTGCCGGGCCGATTACCCGTTAACAGTTGCCTGTGCATAATTCGCTCGACAACGTCCGTGAGAAAGAGGTCCACGACTGCATCATCGCTACGCTCCATCACGCTCACTAACAACGCACTGATGATGTCACCTCCACTGGTCATGAAACGTTTGAAATCAAATTGCCCAGCTCAGTGAACAAACCAACGATCACATATTGTGTTTGCTCATACGGGCTGTAGTTCTGAATCTGCCAAGGAAAGTTTCTTTGACGTTGTAGGTGTTATTTTACAAGGGCGAAAACGATTGTGGTCTCTGGTGACATGAACACACAAGTAGACTACCTTAGCGCTGCTGAGGCTCACCATAAATCGGACGCGATTGTGTTCGCTCATACGGGCTGTAGTTCTGAATCTGCCAAGGAAAGTTTCTTTGACGTTGTAGGTGTTATTTTACAAGGGCGAAAACGATTGTGGTCTCTGGTGACATGAACACACAAGTAGACTACCTTAGCGCTGCTGAGGCTCACCATAAATCGGACGCGAGACGCACGACAACATAGAACGCCCACTACAGCTACGTGCAGCTGACCACAGACTTCCGAAACAGTTGTAATCGTTTAAACAGGTGATGCTCACGTATAAACCAGCCCTGAAACCAACTAAATCACAACTACGTCGGTTACGGGTGGCAAGGAACGATCACTGCCTGTCTCACCTAGAATACCCGTTTGGACTCCACCTATTCTGGTCAAAAACGGTCGTGAATTCCCTCGTCAGTTTCTATAACTTATTTGCTGGTAGTGATTTTTGAAATTTTCACACTACCATCAATCTCCAATTAGATTGAAAGGAGAATGATTTCGTGAAACGAGTGAAATTTGTGTTCGAGGAGTCATCACTTGAGCACTTAGTCAAAAAGTGATGTGCTTTCCGTGCTGTATGCTGTCCCAGTCTCACTGCGGATCAGCCGCTTGTGGCTCAATGGTCAAATGTTCATGCTACCAGAGGGGGGGGGTGTTGAGGATTCGGAAATTTAGGGAGTTTCGTAACATACGGATTACCGATGATTCCCAATAAGGATGAAACAGCTGTGCTGTGTTCCCCGCCATTCCAGAGTAGACTGACTTTGCTTGCAGGACGAGATTCTAATTTCAAATTGTTTTAGCTTATCAGGGGCATAGAGACCGCCCAGACACCTTGGATGAGTAGCTAATAGTGTCTCGCAGTGGATGTATTAACCACAGAGAGGTCAGTTAGACTACCGTCTTAGCCAGGCTTCTGCCGTCACTGATTCATTGTCATTTCAAGGGATTGCGCACAACCTTAAGCACCAAGCGGGATTTCGACTGGCTACAGGTGCACTGACCACATGTTCACATTCTATCAGGTGTTAGAACAGTGCCACACACGCCAACTACTGATCATCTTGATGTTATTTGATTTTATTGGTGCGTTCGATTGTGCCAGTTGGTCGGTGCATCTAATTACACTTGCTCAAAAGAGGATGGCCAATGAGTTCCGAAAAATTTTCTGGCCCATACTTGTAGGCGTGACTCTGAGACGTTCCTCATAGCTTACCTTCAAAAAATGTCTGGCTGTTTACCCACTTCGTTTTTGTCCTGATAGGTCACCGCTGAAATGAAAGCCGTAAGGTCTTCAACTTCTGCTGTTGGTGAGGACCCTGGTCGATCTGGGCGGATGACGTCGTCCTAATCTTTAAGGGTGAACGCCAGGCAAAAACTTAATCCTTCGATGTGTCTTACGCTCCAAAGGTGCAGTCATGCTTCAGAAAATGTAGCCCCTGGATAATGCCTTCACAACTCAAAAGGCACTGGAGATTGTGGGGAAGTCCACACGCCTCACTAGTTTTTTTAGCCAAAATCATGCAGGTCACGTGATTCCAGATGATATTTCCCTAACTAATATGCAACTTGTTCATTGAAGCAAGCGGTGGACGTATTCTACTTGGTGTTTGAAATGTAAATTGATCTAACAGTAATCACTGCCTAAGTTCTCAAAATCGTGCTTTCCTGTCTACGTTTCCGCAGGGACTTGAAACTAGTGCTGAAAAACGCATAGAACCAGTTCCCTAAGTGACCACATGCAGTCCACATGGAGTAAAGCAAAAGAAAAATGAATCCAGGATTTTTCTTATCACGCAAATAGGAGTATATGCAGTCTGAGGCCTGCAAATAATGAGAAATACTGCAACGATGCCGTAAATGCAACAACGGAAATCGAAAAGTGAAAATAGATGGACAAGAAACCGGCTTCTGAGCAGCCCGGGGCTTGAATGAATCACGGAAAAGATAGTGTAAAAGACCCAAATGTCCGATACTGTTGAAAAGAGAGATGAAGTGTAGCAGCACCAATTCACCGTTAATTTTCGATAGACCGCCAAGCAGGTAGCCACAAAAAAGCAGAGAAACGTTCCATTAGAACGTGTGCCATCAATAATTTCCAAGTCACTTTCCCGAACACATGTAAGCATGTTCAGTATGGAACTTTTCATGTAAAGACTAGCAACGGAAGAAAATAAAAACAATGCTAAATGCTCTTCAAGGCGCAGTGAGCGATAGCACGGTCAAGACTCGCACATCAGACACAATATTCCCGTGAAACAGGGTCAGATGTGAAAGTCGACGCCATGCACATACGTAGAGAGCCCAAAATAGTGAGCAAATACAAATAACTGATTGTGACCTTAAGAAACCCCAATCCAACAACAGCCTTGGCGGGCTGAAGAAAGCAGGTCCCTCGATATGAAATGATCATCGGTTTGCGAACCAAAAAGTCAGCATCACAATAGATGGCATGTGGGCCTGAGATGATTGCGAGCAAACAATCATCATCCCCGTATTTCTGCTTCTTTTCATTCCACGCAGTCATTCCGCGCACAAAGCTTACCACGGTTGTTTGGTTCTCCCGAACAGCAACTAGGTCAGGTTTGATGGAAGATGCCGAAGTAGGTGCTCCTCAAAGACGGCGTAGCCCAGACGACAGAGACGTTTCCCAAGTTCTCTTGCAACCCGATTATGATGGGCACATCGAGCAACATGCACCAGCCTTTTCGGCTGACCACAGCTTCCACAACAAAACATCGTCCGGTCACCGTAATCGCGCCGGGCGATTCTAATTCTCGTCTTCAGCAGGTTGTGTCGGAACTGAATATCCGTCGATAAATACCGAAGGAAAACACGTTCTGGAAACACAAATAACCTATTCGAAAGAAACGAGGTAACTGATTACCGCGAACCGTGGCCTACAACACTGTTTTGCAAACTTTTGACTAAAGCCGCAGTCATTTCCTTCTTGGTGCTCAAGTGTGTGTCTTAGACTCTAATTAGACGGCTGAGCTCCCGAACAACCTTACCGAACGCAGGGTTATTAACCCCACTGCTTAGTGCTCGACAAAGTGTAGACAGCAGCTTTCCCATATGCGTCTTTCGCTGTATCGGAATGGTTGAACTGCTATATATGGACCGGTGCATATGTAGATGATTGGAGTGCCCTTCGGTGGGCCTAGCTAGCCACAAATAGACCGCCTGTGATTGTGCAGTCTTTTGAGTGTTTTGTTGAATTGACCGAGCACCAGCGAATGCGCCAGCCTGTGTATTAGGTTGTTCCTTGTAAGCCCCACTTTTTGATGCGGCTTTAACGGGGCGTGTGTCACCTCATCGAGCAGTCTCAACAGCTCTTATTGGTGGTTAAAGACTAACCCATTCGGTGCCCAGATGCCATGACGACGGAAGGAGCCACGAGGACTGGGATATTTCCAGGTTGTCCAAGTGTAGACAGAAGCAGTCGACATGCTGAGGTTGGGTTCGAACCGCGGACCTTCCGGTCCGTAAGCTGACGCCCCAACCACTGAGTTATCTTGACACACGGCACCGAAAGGGTGCTAAAGCTGAACCATTTTTTCATTTCTAGGATATTTTTCAAATCCCAGACAAGCAGACGCATTCTTGTGGGAGAGATTCCCGAACAAGGTGCCCAGAAGTGTCTCGCATCCAGGGATCTGATGGTCGTGACCGCGGTATACAGAGCACGTAGATTACTATACCTGTATCGAACATATCCTCATTTAATGAAACGTGCGGTGGCATTAACTTACCGAATGCAGTTTTAATGGGGCCTTGGGGACACTTGTGCCAAGTAGCGAACAATCACGGAAGCGAGATGGCTGAGTGGTTGGAGCGCGAATTTACAGGCCGGAGGGTCAGTGTTTCGAATCCGACCTCTGCATCTCGATTAACCCTGTCTTGGACAACCTGTCGGTATCCCAACCCTCGTACTTCCTTCTGGTGGCA